TATCACTTTCCGCCTATCCAGAGACAGTTTGAGCTGGCTTGGGATCAATGTTTAATGCTCTGTGAGCAACAGACTTCACTGGCTTGGACACATCAGCAACTTTTTGTTCAGGGATGAAGTCAGTGATTTTCGAATTCTTCTTTTTCGCTGGCTTCGTTGTATATGGAGAGAGATCTTAAGGATCTGATTCAACTGGTATAGGTGGAGGGTTGAGTTTGTTTTTGTTTTCTCAGAGTGGGCGGAGGTTTTCAAGTGTTCTGAAAACAGCGAAAGGATATTAGTAAAATATAATTGATACATATAAATGATGAAATATTTAAGTATTGAGCAAATATATTTACTGTCACCTTCGTCAAGTCAAGTTCTTCAGCTTGATCATCGCCCTTTGATGAAGTATCATTTTTCTTTGTAGCCGCAGCTGCAACCTTGTCTTTTATACTTTGTTTCCTCTAAACATCAAAAAGAAAACAAAGGGGTTTAAATGATTAAGGTTAAGAAAAGCATGTAAAAAGATTTCGAAGAATAAATCTAAGAAGCCTTCCATTTCACACCTTCACTGGATGGAGAGAGTATTCGAACATACTCTATATCAAAATGAAGGTGGCCTTTGAAACTGTCCAGAGAATGCTTAGTCGGAACCACTCGTTTGACTAGTTTTTTGGAATCTTGTTGAAGGAGTTTCAGATGAGACCCACAGACAAACCGCTCAGGGAATGAAGGTCCAAATGCCAAGCCAAAATTAGCACTTGGAAATGATGGGAATTTTTGTGGTTGGAGTTTGAAATCTAACTTATACTAATCTTCGGGCTTGACGCACGAAGGGATTTTTAAAGAAGGGAGTTTCTTTGTGAACTATTCCTTTAAAATTAAAGTTTCTTCACGAATAGTTTGACTAAGATCATCAAGTCTGTATATAGTTTCAAAGTACTTTTGAAACGCTTTAATTTCTTTGACGTGAGTTGTTATACCTTTCTTGAATCGTTCCTGTATGGAAGCAAAAGCACGAATTAGATGTTGAGAAAAGTCAGTTATTCGAAGATTATACTGGTGTAACATGCCCTACACCAAGTGTCAAATTCTTGTGTGCAAAGGGTGATGGTCAAAAAGAAATGGGAGCAAGAGTGATGATGTTTGCATAATGCGAAAGTTATTTTGCGTAGTCAGGTTCAGAAAACCACATGCTATGAAGGCAAAGAGCAACTTTCTTATCATACAATGGCTTAGGCATTGTTTGGATAAATACAAACTGTCGAGAAACCAGATTAGGTTGATAGCTAACCAAGACAATTTGGTTCTTCCAAGGTCTCAATCTAGTGGCAAACAATCGAGGGGTGAGAAAAGATTCCCATAGAGCTATAGATTTTTCTTCTTGATCCTTTGAAAAAGAAGTGATTTCACATTTAAACCATTCAGGGCCATGCAATCTTTGAGCAAAAGGAGCCATCGAAAAAGTAAAATTAAGGCGTTTTGGGAACATTGTCACAAACCCAATGAAGGATTCTTGTAGAACTGTCCCTTCATCATTTGGGGTTAGCTGGACCAATCTTTTTCCTTTGACCCTCCTATTTTTTACCTCTTCATTGATAATATGGCATGGGGGAGTGAAGGTTCGAAAGTGGCATTCAACCATAATTGGAGTAACCAAAATGGGCCAGCGAACAGGATATTCGTTCCTAATTGGTAATTCTTTAGAATCTCAACGAACTCCCCTAAAGACTCATAGAGGGGACCTAAAATGATTTGGCTCAAGCACAACTTGTGCCCAACATGAATTTGGTTCGCCATCGTGAGATATCTCTTTGCTACTTGAAGAGAGCTCGAACAGAAAGCGCAACACGACAGCCATAACGCCAGAAAATCGATATGTTCTTTGTCACAAACTTCTTTAGATGTTTTGTTGTGGTTATCAGATATGTAGTGGGTAAAAGTGGGTTTACCGTTTCCAAAATTAATGGTATCTTCATCCATCTCAAAGGGGTCGAAGGTTTCCCCAATAGGTCGAAGACCAGTGATGGCAGTAATGTCAAACAGAGTTGGCGTCATCATTCCATAGGGGAAATGAAAGGTGTTATGGGTAGAATCCCTGAAGTATAATGAGGCCACTAACATAGTTTGGCTATACCCAAGGCTAGATTTTGACAGCAGGATCATGTCATAAATCTCCATATCTTTCCAAAATTGGATTTTCTTACTCTCAACCTCAGTAAGCCAAGAAATATATGGTTCAGGGTCTTTCATTAGAGGGCATGACCTAAAAACTTTAAGAGTGTTGGTCATATAATCTAGGTTAATGTTGCCTTCTGATTTTGAAGTGTCAGCCGAAGACTTCACTTGGTCGTCCACAAATTTCTAGCTATCAGATTTTCTACCTTTATCACCAGGTTTTTGTTTACTAGCCAAAGGCTTGGTACGATGATAAATAAGAAAGAAATCTTTAAGTTTTTCTGCATCTGCAGTAGGGTCGGGGAAAAGGACCCATATATGCATGTGTTTCACCAGAAATAGTTAGAGGGATAAGTACTTGAGATTGGTAGATTTTACGTTTCTCTTCAAGAAGAAGAGGCTCGGGAACATACTCTTGATTTTCTACCAGCAACGGTGTTGCTATCTTAGTGATTGGGATGGAAGCTTCTTTTTGTTGCTTGGATACTTTGATTTTTGGTTCCATTGTTGAAGATTAGAAGTTCAAAAGATGAAGATTCTGCAAGGGGTTTTTGAAAAAGAAAACTAAAGAAGCATAGGTTTTGGAGGTTTTGCACTGGAAAGTGATAAAAATGAAAGGTTGTAGTATTTATAAGAAGAAGAACGGTGTTTCATTTTTCGTGACTAGAGAGATAGTGGGGCACATGTTACGCTTTGAGAGGATGCAAAAGCGGTTACCTAGGGAAGTTACTTCCATACTCCTATTTTCTGGGAGTAATAGCAATGCACGTCTTGATGAGACGTTTCTGAAAAGTGGCCATCATGACCATGACGTTACAACAGTAACTGCTGGCGCGTCGAAAGCTTTCAAAAATATCGTCTTCTCACTTTGATCGAACAAGACATTTTTGGGGGACAATGTGTTAGTTGTAAATTCGACGCTTAAGTTTGGAAAATTGGAAAATTGTTTTTTCAAGATAAATCAAGAATAATGAAAATGTTTCAAGTTTAGTTTTCGAAAAGAAGATGGTCTTTTCGAACGAAGTTTGAAGAAATAACGCAAGATCGAAACTTAGCGTTTTGGAAACAATTTGAAGCGGTTTCGACAAGGATATTTGAATTTTGGCACTTATATGTTCTTTTGAAAAGAGGCGTGTGGAAGTCTGCGAAGGGTCGAACACATGCAAGCGAGAACATCTTCTTCTAATCACAAGATCGTTCATGTCGAATTAGTATAAATAAGAGTCATTAGTTTTAGGATTTTGTGTGTTCAATATTGTACAAATTACTCATATTTACTCAAAGTATCAACTGTTATCGAGAAACGAGTTTATGAAAATGTACGTATCAAACACCACATTTATTTTTAAATGTCAGTTCATTTTCATTAAAGTTATTTACATTTCTTTTACATTCAAGTTGAAACTCTTTTATTTTCCAATCATTTTCATAAATTATGTACTTATTACTTTCGGGTTTATTTTCACTTTCGAAGAGATCAATATCCAAAAATCTTAAAACACAAACTATACATTATCATCCTAGGATCAATCTAGTTGATTCTGCAAGTAACCAAAGATATTAGATTTTGTAAGACTAGCAGTTGTTTACCAAATTTCACAGTAAACAGCTACTATCATGTTAAGAGATTGTATGGTACATTGATGTAGGAAGGCTAGTTGCGCATATCGAAGAAGATATCGTGCATCAGAGAATATTTTAATATTTAAACAATTTTCTATTTTAATATTTAAGTAATTTATATTTTATTTATTTTATTTAATTCTGTTTTGGATTAAAGGTCCATTACGATTATTTTATTTTATGTATTTAAATACCTTTGGCGTAGCCATAATGATTATCTTTCATATAATAAAATTTGAAGTTTTCTTTATTTTTGATGGACTCCAGAACTTATTTGACAAGTTTTACGCTTGCAACCCTGTTTTCATTCTAGATTTAGCACTTGCTATTCCTTAAAACTTTCGACTGCGTCCTATATTCATTCTAGGTTTAGAACTTGCTATTGGTCAGGGCTTCCGACTATGTCATACAGGAGACTGGAAAGTTTTCTATGAAGAGTTCCTAAGCTTCTCATATGACCTTAACGAGTATAACTCTAATACTTTATCTCTTAGTGATGAGTGCAACATTATCCTTTTCTCTTTCCCCATGCTTGGGAGGTGACATGTAAAAATATGGATTGCAATTCATTGCCATCATGAGTTGAGGCAGTCACGCTATCATGGCTTTACGATCGTTAGATTAAAATCAAACGGTGTATATTTTAAATTCAAAAGTTTATATTAATTGCAAAATTAATTCTATATTAAATTTGGACTGCTTGATTGCAATCCAACGGTCATCATTGTTGCGACTGTGTGGCAGCGGCAAATTGTTGACTGCAGGCAATCCTAATTCTAGAAATATTGATGGATTCAATTAGTTATGTGTTCTATTAAGTGCATCGTGAAGTAATAGTGTTTATTTGAGTACTCTAGTGACAAAAAATCTAATCTTTTGCATCAATGTTGTTGTCTCTTTTATTGGGAGTCACAGGATTTTATAACCTATTACTGATGAAGAGAAAGTGACCATGCATGATGGATGTAGTGACCATGCATCGATCCAATGTTTTTGTATTTTACATTTTGAAAATTTGTGTATATTCTTCTATCTTTGATTAAGATTTTCAACCATACATTTAACTCACCCATTTTCATCATCTACAATTTCTTGATAATAGTAAACAGTTGTACATGATCACTCATAAATGAAAGATAATTTCCCCAAAAAATATAAAATAATGATCATGGAAATTTTGTAGCAATAGTAACACATAGTTAACGCCAAGAAAATTACAATTGAAAGAGACAACCAGAGAAGTCAATGGACAGAGAGAGAGAGCCATTGTGACCTGGAGCAGAAATCTTTTCACCAGTTTTCTCTTCCTCCTTACTATCCTCCTTCTTTTCACCAGTTTTCTCTTCCTCCTTACTATCCTCCTTCACAGCCAACACCATCAAAACTAACAGTAACGGATAGCTTAATGTAGTGAGCACCCAATTCACAATCAACTGTGACATTGGAGACACATTGTGGTTATCAATTTGCCATGCAACCGCAGCTCCAGCACTCTGTATCCCTTTATAGAACCCTGTATATCTGTCATATATGTGCAAACATTAGCACTGCTCCTACTATTAGATATAGTTACTGTATTTACATATTATAATTCAGCAATGGAATAGTTAGTAATTAAATATTAGTAACAAGATAAAGCTGTTTGCATTATTACCTGCTAAGAACCTCAGAATCATTAGCCAATGCTCCAATGGACCAATAAACCATACTTTGAAACATGGCATCCAACAATCCAAAACTAAAATACAAAACAAAAGGACCAGCAAAACCAGAACCAGACTCCTTAAAATCCAATATCACACCATGTCTATGTTTTATCTGATTAGCCACTGCACCACCCCAAATAGCACTTCCAAGAACAGCAACAACACAGATTCCTACAATCCCTCTTTTCTTCCTACTCTTAAAACTGAAATCCATAGTGTATCCAATCCCAATCGAACCAATCATCTGTGCTCCCCAATAAAACACATTGTTCAACCCTCTTGTTCGCAAATTAAACTCGGTCTTATTAACATGATTAAACTGATATGTATAGAAAAAATTACTAGACCAAGCTGCAGGAATCATGAGAAGCATCTTCCAATTGTAGAACAGTTTCAAAATCTCCATAATCTCAGTTGCAACGTTTGAGTATAACATATTTGTACACTTTGTTCCATCATCACGAACAACTTTACTCGCTGGCAAAATAGTCAGAGACAAAACGGTTCCTAAGGACATAAAAGCCATGAAACCTATGTAAGTTCCATCGTTAACAGTAGCAGCTTTATCACCACTGTTATAATTAAGAATAAAAGGGATTAAACCACCGATAACGCCACCCATGTTGAAGATACTCCAGAAAATCGAAATGTAAGTTCCTTTCCGATTCACTGGAGGGTAAGATGTCATAATAGCACCTTGTGCAGCCCATAATAACCCTGCACCGATTCCAAGAACGGCACCGGCGATTATAGCAAAAGCTTGGTGTTGTTTATGATTGTAGTAGAGGAAGGAACCGGCGTAGAGGACATAGGTGGAACAACCTGCGAAGAGAGTTAAGTGTGGTCCGAGGATGTTGTAGATTCCACCACCTAGGATTCCGAAAACGGCGAAGGTTGTGTAGAGCGCGGTGAGGGCGTTGTTGGAAGCGGTGGCGTTGACTTGACCACCACCGCCCATTCCCGAGAGAGCGTTGAACATGCCTGGACAACAAAAACAAACTAACCCAATGAGAATGATTTGTGCAAGAGGTGAATTGTATCGGAAAAGAGATGAACTTTTTGTGGTTTCGGATATTTGGATTGCTGATTCTTCATTTTCAGCGGAACCCATTTGAGAAGAGGGTGGAAGAGAGAATGAATATTGGGGGACGAAGAATGAATGAAAGGGGGGTGATTTAAGAAGTGGGAGATTAATGCGACAAATTTGCAGTAAATGCCCTTGCAATGAGACAAATTTGCAGTGTAAATGGTCAATTGTTGTTGTCACTATCAAAGGACCAAGGTTAAGGACATGTTCAATAGGTTTACACGCTTACGCAAAGGCTCTGTCTCGGTGAAAAACGAATATCGCAATTTCTTTTTAGATTTTGATGAAGGATAAAAATAGGATTCGAAGTTAACTAACTATCTAGTATTAAAAATGATTTTACAGTTTCTTGTTGAATTTCAAAGGAAACGTTAGAAAGTTAGATATTGACGCTGCCTGGATATAAATTTGGAAGAATTTTGAATAGGTAATTTATTTGTTCTATTCTATATATTAAAATCATTTCTAATTAAAGCTGAATAATGTAATTTCGTTGGTAAACAATGAACGTAAGTGAGTAAATAAAATTAAAATAATTTCTATTAAAGAAAGTTTGATACTCGGTTGGCAAAAACAGAATAATATATTAATAAATCCAAAACAGCATAAAGATATAATTTGGCTGAGTCAATGATTGTTAACCTTTTTTTACTACTCTCTTTATCCTAAAAGAATGGTTATTTTAAGTTTTTAATTTTATATTAGGGTAGTTTGAAATGCTCCTCAAGGAACCAATTATATTTTTACTTCCACTTCATGCCATTTCAAACCTCTCTCAAGGAACCAATTATATTTGCTTATTATAGACAACTAAAGGCCTATCGAGATGAACTTGATTCTTATCATACATGATCTGATCTGATCAGAAATGGACCGTCACGGCTGGCTCCGAGCAGAAAGCTTCTTGAACGAGGTGGGGGATACCTGCAAGGCACTCCGATGCTGAAGTAAGTAGGAGTACGAGCAGATAATAGTAAGTTGAGGTTAGAATGATGAATACCTGACCCTCTGGAAGCAGAGGGTATTTATAGCCCCCAGCGCTGGGCCAAGGTTCCTTCATTGGGCCGGGCAGGTTTGGCCCAATGGAGGAACTGCCAGGTTCTACGTGGGTAGTGGGGACCCGCACGTGGTCCCCTTCCTGGATGTTCTGCGTGAAGTGCGGGCGGACGGAGACGCGGTCTTTCCGGAGTATCGTTGGGGGAACAGTGGACTGAGTCTGCCCTAGTTGGGATGCTCGAGGCAATGTCGAGCTGGACAGCGGATGTCGAGCTGGACAACAGGACGTGGAGCTGGACCGCAGTATGTCGAGTTGGACATCAGGACGTGGCGCTGGACCGCGGTATGTCGGGCTGGACATCAGGATGTGGAGCTGGCCCGCAGTATGTCGGGCACGGCTGTGACCCTCACCTCGGCGTGGTCCTCAGTAAGTCCATTTGGACTGGGCCTTAGCAACGCTTTTGGGCCTGTCGGGCCCAGTCCAGAACAGGAGCCCCCCAAGTCGTGGTTCCTTTGCGAGGAGCCATGACTTGAACCCAAGTCGTTCCCTCGTCGAGGTCTCGTACCCGGGACAGAGGTGTGGACCCTCGAGGGCCTCTTGTGTCGTGCTCGGAGACACCTTCGGCGGCGGATGCGCGGAGGATCCTTACCGGGCGCGTCTGTCGAGCATACGAGGTATCTTTCGGGAACTGTGCCGCCACCCTATGGGGATAGGGTCATCATTGCGTTGGGAGCAGCGCGTCGAGGAGAGGGAATCCGTGGTTGCCCGAGGTGACGTTTGGTATTCCACGTCATCACTATAAATAAGAACCTTGGGCCCTATAACACGTTTCTGTTCTCTGCGCTCTCTCTGCTGCTGCTTTTCCAGATTTCTTCCGGTTGCGACTTTCTGTCACAGATTCTTCCATTCTGTAGTCAAATCCTACTCTTTGATTCAAGTAAGTGGTCTATCTTCTTCATTTTCTTGTTAGAATGCATGATTTTCGGCATTTGTAGATGTTTTAGGGCCGTGCGAGTGGGATTAGCCCGGTAAACTCACACTTAGCTCGACGTATTCATGCGTAAGACCGGCAAACGCATGTTTGTGGCCGGCATATTCATAGTTTTAGGCGATAAACTTCATCGCTGCCCGGGGTCTTCATGGTCCAGGGCGCCTGATTCATGATCGCGCCCGACATGTTCATGGTCTTGGCCGTGGGCCTCATGGTGTGGCTCGCCATGTTCATGCCTCAGGTCGACATGCTTGAAGAGTGATCGCATAGTTGGTTTCGAGGAAGGGCAGCGAGTTTCAGGATGTCGGGGAGGCAATCATTCGTGGAAACGGACTTATGTAGTCGAGCGTATGGCTTCGTGCTCAACTGACTGGTTTCCCGTGCTCTGCAAGTAACCATGGCGGACGAGCCGAGCTCCTCCGGACGCTGCGATCGTGAAGAACAGAGCGCCGACGAGTCGGTCACCCTGATTGATACCGTGACCGACCCTTTGTTGGAATGGGTGGGCGTCGAGCCCCGGGGGATTGCGTCGGTCTATAGCCGGGACGACCGACATCCATACGCCGTCATCGAAGCGGGTCAAGACCAGCCCGGCTTCCAAAGGAACTTCGCAGTCATGCGCCCGTCATCCCGTGCAAGGATCTGCTCGGTTTACCCGGAATACAGCTTCGCGATGTATGAGATCGCGTTCAAAGATCTAGGGCTGCGACTGCCTTTTACTGATTTCCAGGCCGGGGTCTTCACTCACCTGGAGCTGGCCCCGTCCCAGCTACATCCAAACTCTCTCGCCTTCATTCGGGCGTTTGAGTTGACGTGTCGCTACCTGAGGATCGGGGCGACCATACCGCTTTTCTTCCAGATATTTCACCTGCAGCGTCAGTCCCGAGGAGGGAAACATAGTTGGGTCTCCCTGAAGCAGTCGAGGAGACTCTTCAAGATGTATATGGACTCCGTGAGGGGGTTTAAAGACAAGTGGTACGTGGTGCGGCCAGTTACCACTTCTGCTTTAAATTCCCTTTTCGAGGAGGAGGAGCCGGTGAGCGACGAGGACGGGGAGGCGATGTTGGGCGACGATGGGAACCCTGTGTTGGGACGTACGGCTAAAGTCCCTGTGCACTGGATGTCCCGGCATTACGAGCATGGGACGGGTTATTACCATACCGCAGCCGGGGACATGTGCACGGAAGATGAGGAGGCGTACGCCGCCCTTTGCCGATTTGTTGATGGCTTTCATCCTGCCCGGTGGGTTACGCGGGAATGGGAGGATATCTTGGACAAGGATGGTTACCCAACGTTCGAGTCCCGTCCGATTGATACCAAGGCGCTCGTGGAGTGTCCGACATACAGGCAGGCTGCCCGCCTGTTAGGTTGTTGCTTGAATTTCTTTATTCGTCATTTATTTATGAAGTTTGCTCGATACTGACCTAACTTTTATTTTGTGCAGGTTCGATGGCTGGCCGACATGAGAGGCTCTTGAAATTATCCTGCGACCAAAGGCGAGGCAGGAGGATCGTGAAGGCCCCACAAACGACGAGGATGGGCCCACCGCACAGTCCAAATGCTCCTCAGCCGGTGAGGGTGGACTCGCCGTCAAGCTCGGGGCCCGCGTCGGATGGGACCCCAGAAGTCGAGGAAATCGACCCTAGCGTCATCTTGATACAGAGGAAGAGGACCCGCGTGGAGAGTGGTCCGACTGCTGGCGAGGACGCCGGCGCCGTTAAATCTTTCGCCTTCCCCCCTTGCTTCGAAGAGGCGGGCTTTTTCGATAGATTCCCTCCGACAGTGGTTGCCCACGAAGCTGCAGCCATAAAAAAGATGAGTAAAGAGGACCGGAAGGCGTATCTGGCCGCCAGCATGGACGGGCTGGTAAAAATGGCCGAGATGGCTTTGGTGCTATCCGAGGACGGAGGGGATCCTACCCGTGTTGAAGAACTCGAGCAGGAGAAGGCGGCCCTGACCTCGAGCTCGCGGAAGTTGAAGGTCGCTCTGGAACGCTCCGAGGAGATGTTCCGCGAGCAGACGGCCATGCTCGATGCTGAGAGGGAGATGTTAACCCTGGAGAAGGAGAAGTCGGGAAAGTTGGCCGAGGAGGGGGAGCTTCTTCGGGCAGACAGGGACCGTCTGGGGGCCGAAGTCGAACGCTTGGCCCAGCAGATCGAGGAAATGAAAGCTGCCATGCAACCTGCCGAGGACGAGCCCGAGGACATAATGGCTTTGAAGAGTCGGTTGGAGCTGGTCGCCCATATCCGACTTCTTGAGGCAGATTGCGTCGGGGCCCTGGAGGATGGGTTCAACTCTGCGGTCGGTCAACTCTCCTTGCTAAACCCTGGCCTGGTCACTGAGGGTATCGGCCACACACATCAGATCGTGGATGGCGTGATTGTTCCTCCGCCCGACTCTCCAAACACCGACAATGATGATTCCGGGGAGATCTGAATAGGATAGCGGGCCTGCGTGCCCTTGTCATTTGTATTCTTTGGGCCTGCGTGCCCGTTTATTGTACGTTATGAACATCGCCGGCCTTCTTGGTCGGTTTATTATTGTTTTGTCGCCTTCGGGCATTTATATCAATGCTGTTTTACATTTTGGATGTTTTGCCCTTGTTTGAAATCATATTTTTGCATGAATTTTAAGCCTAAGTCATGGGCCCGAGGAGTGCCCGTAAGTGGCTTTGACTTGGCGAGCTAGTATGCCCGCCACCGTTTGTATGCGTGCCCCCGGCCCTCTTTCGCTGGCCAGAGACACCTAAGTGTTGTGCTCGAGGGGAGAGATTTTTCTTTGACCCTTTTAGATGGCCCGTTATTCTTGATGGAATGCCGGGCATTTCGGAGCGAAGTTGCTCAGTCGGGCGTGGAGCCTGTTAGGGACTATTCGCCCTTGGCGTGAACTGCCCATCGCGAGCTGGGTGTTCTGCCTTATGGGTACAACGACGGTGGGGCTCGGTATAGCTGTCCACGTCGGGCACTATCGATCGTCATCGTTTACCGCGCGATGATGTGCCATTTTGGCCGTATGTCGGGCTTGTACCTTAGCCTT